GTATGGACTAAAACAGGCATCCCGACAATGGTATGCTAAATTGGCAGGGGCTCTCATTTTTAAAGGATATTCTAATTCACTTAATGATTACTCCTTGTTTTTTAAGTGTTCTGGGACTCATGTTTCAATTATTGCTGTTTATGTGGATGATATATTGCTCACGGGTAATGATCATAGTGAAATCTCACATATCACCAGTTTCCTTCACTATGAATTCAAGATCAGACATTTAGGGGATATTCATTATTTCTTGGGTCTGGAAATTATCAGAGAAAGGCATGGTTTCATTATTAATTAGAGGAAATCTACTTTGGATTTTTTAGAGGAGTTTGATTACAATGGTCCTGAGGTCTCCTCTCCTCTGGATCCTTATTCTAAGCTTCATGACGATACTAGTCCTCTTTTTCCTGATCCTACTGTCTACAGACATATAGTTGGCAAACTCAACCGGATCTATCTTTTGCAGTATTGAAGTTAAGTCAGTTTATGCAACTACCTCGACAGTCACATTATGCAACAACTATGAGAGTTTTGAGATACCTTAGCACGGATCCTGCGCAAGGCATTTTACTTTCTTCAGATCCATCATTTGAGCTTTTTGCTTTCTGTGATGCCGATTGGGCTTCTTGCAAGGACTCTCGTCGATCAGTTAGTGGATATTTTATTACTCTTGGTGGTGCTCCTATCTCCTGGAAATCAAAGAAACAAGCATCAGTTTCTTTATCTTTTGCTGAGGCAGAATATAGATCAATGAGACGCGTTACAACTGAGATTACCTGGCTTGTGCGAGTCCTTGAAGATCTGTCTGCTCCACCACGTTTACCAATCACCGTTCACTCTGACAATCAAACGGCTATCCACATAGCAAAAAATCCAGTCTTCCACGAAAGAACGAAGCATGTGGAACTGGATTGCCACTTCGTTAGGCAACAGTTTGTCTCCGATCTCATTATGCTCTTTTTTGTTGATTCAGCACACCAACTTGCAGATCTATTTACTAAGCCTCTCTCAGGTCCATCACACTGCCTCTTGTTGAACAAATTGGGAGTTATATCTCATCCCTCCAATTTGATGAGGGATATTGCAATTCCTCCGAAATCAAAAGCGAATTTTTCCATACAAGAACAGAAGCTCACAGAGTTTAAAGGGAAAGAAGAAAAGGATTCAGACCAAGAAACTTGATCTTTGACCAAGTCTAGGTATACACAGAGATTGTCTCTTGATGATGTGGAAAAATCAGAGACGTTAATCAAAACCGAAGATATAAAATTTGAGCCGTTTTGATAGAGGGACAACTGTGCAAAAATAGAAGTTTCCAGCTGTTTTCTCTCACGTGACAAGCATGTGAGGAATATTAGTTAATTACATTTTGTTAGCAATGCACGTGTAGAATAATGACAAGTGTATAGGATTTTTGATTATTCTTTAATTTTCTGCCAGTAGATACATGTACAAATACCCTGTTTTGGGATTCAATAGGATCATCAGAAAATTGCCCATTATTCTCCTTTCAGGTTGTAAGTATTTGTTTATTATATTTTTAATCATATATCTCGAGTTCAAATTTGATAATGAAGTAATTTTTGGTAAATAAATATTTTATCTCTAAAATGTGATTTTTCAGTGTATTTTAAAATTTATTGGGTCTCAAAGCTAGTATCATACACTCAATTAACTTATGCATGATTAAGCAGTCGAACAAATGATAAAATATTTTTGTTAGATAGTTTCAATTTTAATTTTGTAAAAGTTTTATGTATGTTCTCAAACGTTCATTACGTAACTATGTTAACTAAATTGTAAAACTTAGAGATTATTCTAAATAAAGTTGATGTGTTTGATAGAAAAATGTTATGCATAATAATGTGTTAAGCTTATTTACACAATACAATATACACGTTTGAGAATCGCACAACAAAAATTGAATCGAAACTAATTAACTAATAAAATTATTTTATCATATGTTAAAATAAAATATGATAAAACAATTTTCTAGAGACTTGACCTTTTATGACCAGTCAAGTAATTTGGGTTGTAATGAACTTCTATTGAATTCTCATTCAATTTTTAATGATTCTTTCCTAAAGAACCTTCTTTTGGTCAAATATATAACATTTGAAAATATTGTGAGTGAAGAATTAATAAATAAAGTTGTCAAACACGTTTGTTCCAACACAATGGAAAGTGATATACTTTTTTGGTAAACTATATTTGAAATTAGCACCACTTTAAATATTTGTGGTAGATATAGAAAAATAATTTGGATGGAAACAATGATAAATTTGGTCCAATTGAGGGTGGGGGGGGGGGGGGGGAGCTTTGGATGGTGTAAACATTTTGTCAATCCAATCTTAAACGTGGAGAATTTTAGTAGCTCATGATTGATTATACGACCTTTTACCTTGTTAGTAATGAGGGTTCAATTCCTACAATCTTAATTGTGGTTAATTAGAATAAATTTATGAATCTAACTAATGTGCTTCTATACCACATTTTTAATAGTGTTTTTCTTTTTCAAATGAAGGACACTCGGCTAATCCGGGGGTTCATCTCTCGAGTAGTGAGCGCAATACATTTTATGTGGAGTATATATAAATTTATGCATAAAAAACACCTAAATTGTAATAAATAATACTAAGAACTTTAAAGATTGAACTCACAAAATTAATATCTTGAATTTGTATTTATGGCTAATGCTTTCATTTCAAATAAAAACATGTGTAGAATGTTCTTTAGCTATCTCTTTTACTTGTTCAATAATTTTGTTTCGAAAAAAAATCAAAATTTATTTTTAACATTGCTAAATTATAATAACACAAATACTAAGCTAAGGCACACAAAAGAATAACTTGATAAATCACAGGTAAAATTTAACAAATTTTTCTATATAATGTATATATAATTGCATCATTATTGAGGCATCTAACATGCCTATAAAAACATCTTTCAGGGACTACCTCAGATATATGTAATCTGCTAAACAAATATTTAATCAGTCAAGGAAAATACACCCATGAATATATTCGATGATGTCACAGAGTGACAGGTTGCTATGGATAATTTTTAAACTAGAAGAAAAAAATAATCATTTTTGTAACTTATTTCTGTGGCTTTACGATGATTGATAAGAATTAATGATAATAATAAATTATTATTCTTATATTAGTTATGCAGGTTATTTAATTGCAAACCACATCATATTAATTTTATATATAAATAACTTACCTCCTATCAACTATCAAATGTGGTACTACATATGCACGATTTAATACATGTATAACTCATCTCTAAAGCAACTATCAAATGATTCCTTAATTAATAAATAATAAAAAAATATACAAAGTATATAATACGTGTATAAAAATTATATAATCAATGTATATTGTATACACATTAATTAAATACAAAATTATACAATGATTATATTGGTTAAATTTTGTAAAATTAAAGATTTGTTTTTTAGCTTGTAAAAATCTCTTAAAACATACTAGTGTGAGGTGACTCAACCTTTCTCATCAATCAAGATAAACAACTCTTAAAATTGCCATCTTAGTGTAGCTAGTTGGACTAAATGATCAATTATTTCAGATTTAATGTATTAAAAATATCCACTTGGACAACAAATTTTGACCCACTTATTGGTTATTCCTTTTTTTTTTTTTAATTCATTTTATGCTTTATCATATTTTTATTTATTAACATGTCCTTAGGTTACTTTTGAAATAATAGGGCACACTATATATATATATACGCTTACGACAAAGTAAGGTTTTCGATCAAATTTCTTTAGAGGAGCAGGTTAACATCTCCTCCCATATGTAGCAAGTTGAGTTCAATAACTTTTTTAGATTCTTTTATTATTAATATAAAAAAAGTCATTCAGAATAAATATCTGAATGATTCCATATTCAAAAAAGAAAAAAGAAGCATGAAATTAGAGTTTTTTCCACAAATTACTAAAACTTTACACGATACAAATTTATATTAGTTGAATTAGTGAATACCAATGATTAAAAAAGGAAAACGAAGAAAGCTATATCTTTTATATATATATATATTGTGTTTATTTTTTTATGTTATCTTAAAGAATAGGCTTAATTGGGTCTAATCATCTTTATCTAAAGTTTATCTCTTTGCATTATGCCTATAGTGTATGTTCTTAATTTTTATTTTACTATTATTATTATTATTATTATTATTATTATTATTATTATTATTATTATTCTGTGAATCGGTCGAAATTAATTTTGTCACTACTCACTAGGATCACCTTTTTACGAATTTAAATTGCGTTGTCATATGCAGGTGAATCTACGATATGATACTACTTTACCCATTTTAGGAGATTAATTTGGATATAATTAAAAAGATAAAAGCGGAAAATAACATTTAATTTATGTTTTTAATTATTTTTCTTAAGGGGTGTATCATACACACTAATTTATTTGTATAAGTGTCTATTTAGATTGACTTATTTTAGGCAATTTTAAGCCAAAATAGATTTTTTAAGTAGTTTTAAAGTGTTTGGATAAAGTTAAAAAATCTTTATATAAACACTTATTTTTAACAAAAATAAGTCAAAAGTAAGAAATTCTAATTTGTGATTGTTGATTTATAAGTCATAAGTCAAAAGTCAATCCAAACAGACTCTAATTCACTTAATTATATGAACTAGAGAGAGTAGTGATTAATTAAGAATCTTACTAATTTTCTCAATTATTAAAGGAAAAATCTTTATCACATTGCTACTATACACAAAGAAAAATCCAAAATATATGAAAAAAAAAACTTAAAAGTTTGTCCTAAATTACACAGAGCCAAATTTGAACTAACATTGTACCAACCAAACACAAAAGGAAAAAAGAAAAAACTCTTTTAACATTTGTCCTAAATTATACAAAGTCAAACCAAAACTCAATATCATACTTACCAAACATTAGAAAATCGAAACTATAAAAAGAGCATCAATAGTAGTGTAACAAAACAAACAAATTAACCATATGGCTTCTAATACTATTTCAATTCTCATTCTTATTGTGTTATCTCAATTCTCATTTTCTTTTGGTGATGGCCCCACACCAGTTGTTCACCTCATTAACAACTTGCCACCTGGTCATACACCAACTATGCAAGTTACTTGTAAATTACAACATTGGCTCCCTTTGCTTAGTGTAACTTTGGTATTAGGTCAAGAATTTCCATTTGATGCTGGTATTATCAATGATATTTATGTATGTTATGCTGATTGGGGTTTATTTTATGCTTGGTTTAATGCATATGATCCACTTAAGGATGACAAAGGCCAACCTATTGTCTATTTCTCTTTTAGAGATCGCGGTATTTATAAGAGTTACGATAAAGCTACTTGGATTGGAGTTACAAATTGGAACAATTGATCTCATAACTAGCTTTTCGTCCAAATCAAGATCAAATTCTGAATTTGTTTTTATGGTACTAAATAGGGTTATAAAGTTCGTGTGTGAGTCAAGGAGATGGATAATCTGAATTACGCTTCTTCCTAAAGACAATTGTTTGTTTTTGGTCTACGGTTTTCGGCGTTGTTATTTTTATTTTCTCTTTGATTCGCATTAATATATTGGTTTTATACTATTTTTAAGTCACCTACATTTTTGGTTTTTTTTTTCTAATTTATGGGATTACTAGTTACCCAAATTGAATAGCTCATATAAAATGTATTAACATAAAAGTTTTAGATTAATTAATGTATGACAAGTGTCTTCCTACAATAGTGAGTTACCTTTTAATTTGATTTTCAGTTTTTCACCATCTAAATCATAAAAATAAATACTCAAACCACGATTTGAGTACTTTTAAACACAATAACAAGTCCCTGCTGGAAGTGAGGAGTGTTTATTATCCGAGCAATTCCCTTTTCTTCGCGTTATTGTTTTTATTGTCTCAATGATTTACGTTTCTTAAAAAACAAATTTATATAATTACATAGAGTATCTAGTGGTTTTTTAGTCAATTGACAATCGAACTAAGCCGATTATAATAAATCAGTACTTTTTGGGTTTCATGTTTCATCCTTAACATTAATTATTTGCTCTCAAAATTATTTTTCAAGACCTAATACTATAATCAAGTAATAAGAATGTTATAATAAAATACACATATCAGCCATTATTTTTTTTAAAAACATTTAAAGTGAACAAATAAAAATGAAGCGGAACAAGAAGGAGTAGTACACACTGAGTAGTACACACTTAACTCTTTTGTCTTTTTTGGAGTATGTTGAATGGGACCAAAAAACTGCAAAATTCAACATTTGGAGTGACTGTATGTTTTCAATGTTGAATTGGCATTACATGTTCCAAAGCATGACTTAATTGGGTTGTATTATTCTCTATACATTAGCTTAATTGCTAAGCAAGAACTATAACTAGGTAGTTCAACAACCTTCTCTTTTTCCTATATATATATATATCAAGCATATGTAGCAAAGGGATTTCATATACATTGAAAGCATATCTTATAACAACAAAAAAGAAAGATGGTATGTAATTCTTCTAAGTCTTTTACCTTGTCTTGTGATAGTAATTTGGTTTTTCAATTTATCTTTCAACTAAAGTCATGTTTGAGAAAATAATATTTCTTATACTTCAATTTGTTTGATCATTCTAGATATTTTTTTGTATAAGACTACTAATATTCAAAAAAATAATTAATTTTCTTAAAATTTATGCTACGTTAAAATTGAATAAATAAATCAAAACGGAAAGAGTAGATGGATTATCAAAGATTTATGTATTTCCTCTAATGTTTGTTCTAATTAGTGTGTTTTAATCATCAGAGTGCGTGGTTAGGTGCAAGGGAGCTTTCAATTGAATGGGCTGACAATCCTCAGCATTGGACTTGGAATTACATTCACAACTCTAGGTATACAATCCCCCACCCACCCGGAGTAAAATAATTAAAAAAATAATATTTAGAGACGGATTCAGAATTTAAACTTATTGATTCATTTTTTAATGTATCAATGACATGTGCAGTGTGGAAGTAGCTGAACTTCTGAATGTTTGTTGGCTCGACATTCGAGGAAAGATAGACACAAGTAGACTTGCTCGAAAGACTAGTTATTCGGCATATTTGGTGTTCAGGCTAACAGCTAATCATCGCGAGCTTGAAAAGGGTATTGCATCAGTGAGATTCGTGAAGGATAAAGCCGAGGGGACGGATGAAGAGGGCTACACGGTTTTCATCTCAAAGGCGAAGGGACATGAAGGAGAACGTGGCATATTCGCGTATCCGCGAAGCGATGCATGGTTGGAAACAAAGCTAGGGGAATTTTTCAACAATTTTGGAGAAGATGGTGAAGTTGAAATGAGGTTGATGGAGAACAAAAATCCTAATTGGAAATCTGGGATTATTGTTAAGGGCATTGATATTCGTCCAAATTAAATTTGAGATCCATTTAGTACTATTGTTATTTGGGCATAGTCATGTCTTGTCTCTATGTTTTATTAAGTATTTCAATGTTATGATGCTCGATTCCTGTGGAATCGTAGTAGTCTAGTTGATTGGCAGTAACTTTCATTTTGGTGAAAGTTTGATCTCCTAGTAGTTGTGTTTGGTTTGTTTGTCTTTTGTGTCTTCTTTTGAGTCTCACTATTGTCATGTAAGAGTGAGCTTGAAGTCTTTTGTGTTTTTTATATAATTTCGAAATAAAAAATAAGAGATTTTATGGTTTCTACTAATTGAATATTTTTTATTTGATGTTATTTGAGCTTAGGGGTGTCAAATAAGCGATAAGATGACTCTAAGTAATGTGATTCATTCAACTTGAAAGATTACTTGGCAATGGTCAAATTAAAAAAGAATATATTAAGATGACTATTCTTGTATGGATCAAATTGAAAGAATCAATAAATGGACTGAACTGATTTGACAAATTTTGAGAGGTTAGATAAATATAACATATTTTTATGAATTAACTTTGTCACGCTTAATTGAGATGATTAATTACTTGGCAATGTTCAAATTTACCAATAATAATAATAATCATTGAATCAATAATTTTGATGGCGCATTGCGAAGCTTTAAGGATAAATCGTCAACTGACTGATTATAACAGTTCTTTAAAAATTCACACAAATTAATTGCAACATTTGTTACGGTAGGAGTTCTAAAAATCTTCTGGTACCACCCCATAATTTGAGCCTTTTTTTGAGCTATTAGTTGTTTCCTTTTCCATTTAAACAACAGTCATAGTCGAGGTAGGAAAAGGGAATAATAGAAGGTGTGAAATTTGAAAAGAAAAGAAAAAAGATAATTCTAGTGTAATTTTTATGATTAACTCAAATTTTCTTTAGTTATTACTTATAATCAAAACGTAGAACAAAATTAATTATAAATAGACACATCACACATTTGTTTATATTTCAAATTAAAATTACCCCAATTGATATTAAAAATACATTATTTTTAATTATAAGGTCCAAACTATGGACCTTGAATAAGAGATTAGTATATTATAAGGTCAAAATTATGGATAGCCGCCTTCAAATGAAACTTCAAGGAATTAACTAATTATGAACCCCAACAACATTTCTCCTATATATATATTATGATGAAGCAAAAGGAGTTTGATAGATTAATTAATATTGAGCCAGAAAGATATATATAAGAGCATATATCATACCAATTAAAGAAATTAAGATGGTTAGTATAATTTTTTTAATTTTTTTTAATTGTCTTGTGATTATTACTAATTTCCCTTTTTTTGGTCTAATAGTACTTGATTTTTTAGAATTATCCAAATTGATATGCTTCTTATATTATATAATATAGTTTATATTGTATTTCAATATCAGAGTAAGTGGATAGACGCAAAAGATCTTATAATTGCATTTGTGGACGATTGGACATGGACTTCTCTTGATGATTCTGGGTATTTTTCTTTGTTTATATAATATTATATTAATTTTTTAAGATAAAATTATGATTTTTTGAGGCAAAATGTATATTCTTGTGATTATTCGATCTGGATTTGTTATTATATTATGTTTTTTGCTACCTTATACTTCAATTATCGTATTATCTTGTTATAGTTGTTGTTCCTATATAAAAATGCTCGGGCGCAACTTCTTCTTTTTTTGTGTGTGTTGTGTTTAAAATGACTTCTTCATTCGGCCCATTGCTTTGAAATGATATAATTATAATTTTCTAATTATAAAAATTATAATTTTCTATCATATTTTTTAAATTTTTGAGTGACAGTATTTTTTATAAAAAAGGATTCAATCCTTTATGGTGCATGGTTACTGAGTAAGTTTACACATATTTTTGAAATTTAGTCTAAATCTTCCTGATTTAATTTTTTATTGAAATTTTCTTGTGATCACACTTGACATCCTCTCATGCTTCTGCTCCTGCTTTAATATAGAAATAATTATAGTTTTTTTTGTGCATGCAGCATAGAAGTGGCTGAGCTTGTTAGAACTTGTTGGCTTGACATTTCTACAACAATAGACACAAAGCAACTTACTAAAAAGACAAGTTTTACATCATATTTAGTGTTCAAGTTAAAAGAGGATTCACATGGACTTGAAAAGGCCATTGGATCAGTAAGATTATTGAAGCAAGAGATAAATGGTCATGAAGGTTACAATGTTTATTTCTCAAATGAACTAGAAGGGAAAACTATTGGTCGATTTCCGCATCGTTGGAGCGATAACGATAGCGATGAATGGATGGAAATAAAACTTGGTGAATTTTATAACAACTTAGGAAATGATGGTGAAATTGAAATAAGCTTGATGAATACCAAAGATGTTTTTACTCCTAAGTCCGGCCTCATTGTTAAGGGCATTGAAATTCGTCCAACTTAATTAATTTGACGTATCATGTAATTGGTTACCTATATTTTCACCTTGTTGACCTGATTAGTCAACTTGTAATCCCCTTCTCATACCCCAATTTTAAAAATACTATTTCTTTGTTTCTATTTGTTGGTTTTAATTGTTTTTTTTTTGTATTTTCTCAATTAAGTGTTGATTTGTGCACCTATACAACTCAAGAAGAAGGATGAATTTGTCCCCTTATGTAGAAATCGTTGAAAGTATATAGTTAATTTAATGGAACAAATTGATTTATATTAATTATAAATAGAAATAAATCGTGGATATTTTATAAAAAATGACATAACTTTCAAGATGGAAGTTATCTTATAGTTGATGTATAACAAGGTATACTTTTATGTATTCCCTTTTAACATATGAATAACTTTAAAAAATAAAAAACAAGGTTTTTCAAAAACAATCATAATAATAACACGAGTGTATATATTCGCTCATAATAAGTTGAGGGTTTTCAAAAAATAGTCTCTTTACCTTTATAAGATAGGAATAAATTCACGTATTTTCTGTCTTTCTTAACTTCTACTTATAAAATTATGTTTGATATATTATTATCACGATACATTTGGCTCATAAAAGCTTCAAGACTCATAATTTGTATTGGTTTATTAGCATTTTAATATTAATATTTTGTATTGATTTATTAGCATTTTAATATTAATATCTTGTCCAGAGTTGTTGAGTTATATTTTGTGATTATGCTATTGTATCCTGGAGGGAAAAAGCCAAGAAGGACTAATGCTGGACCGGTGAAAAATATTTATTACAATGACCTTGAATCTCTTTAAAGAGAGCGAGATATCCACACCTCAGTCGGAAGAAATTTTAATTTCTTCATTTTATTTTCAATTGTAATCTTGTATTTTTGTTATCTTGTAATTTTTCATTAACAATTTGTTTAGGAGACAGCTTGACTATGAGGATATCCATGAGATGCTATGTCCTGTTTCCAAGGCCAAATGTCTGTCCATACGCTGTCCCAGAGCACTCCCCATGCCAAACCACAGAAATATTATATAACAAGTACCCATATTAAGAAATATTGAGTCGTTTGATATCGTGAATAAAAATAATATTGAATATAATGTATTAAAAATAACACACATTACATAATTTTCTCTTTTAAGAGATAAATGATGTAAATTTTGACATTTTAAGATGTACTAGTACACGTGCCCGCGCGTTGCGCGGATGATTTAAAATGTAATAATGTTATAATTAAAGATTTATGCACTTAATAATATATTTAATTTGTTATAATAATAATAATAATAATACAAATTATTAACTTATTTATTTGAGCACATTGAATTAATATTATTAGTACACAATTTATTTTATCGTATTAAAATATTATATCTATAATTGTATCAGCTACGCTTTTAGTTTTATAATATAATAGGTTGAATTCTTTGTAAGGATACTATTAATTTTATGATCATCTTATCTTTGATCACATATCAAATACTTCAAATATTTTTATTTGTTTGTGCTTTATTCTTTTCATATTGTTTGAATAAAAAATCATGTTAGTAATTTATTAATTCTAACATTCCATAAGAAATATTTGATATCATAAGATTAGATGGTATGTTGATACATTTTCTTTATATATTTTATTCAAAACCAAAAGATTTTACAAAATATTTTTTTCCGTATTAAAATTGTGCTACAATATGATAGAAAATTGATTTAAGGTAAAAATAATTTTAATAAATACAACCATATATATATATATATATAAAGTGAAAGTAAAAAAATAAATAAAGAAGTAACCGATTATAGAGGCAAAACTGACATATTCTTGAGATTGTCAGTTTTTACAAAATTTAATTTTAAATAAATTATAAACAAACAATAGTTGAGGTAATTTTAAAAATAGTTTTTTCTTTTGGATATTTGTAAATAATTCAAATGGCAGATTATTATTTTTAATGTTTTAAATATTTTATTTTTTATTTATTTATTATTATTATTATTATATTTGTCATTGTTTTTATTAACTAAAAATTAAAAAGATAACAACATTAATATTCTTTATTTTGAGTTGATATTATTTCAAATTGTGTGTGCAGTTATCTCCTAGAAAAATTTGATGAAGATATGGTTATTATAACTTTGAAATTGTTTAAATTATTTTATTTTTTAAAAATTAGGATTTAATTGTTAGTTTTTTTTTTGTTTTTTTTTTTTTTTAAATGCTCAACTTTCATAGTTTATAGGATTTCATAATTCATGTCTAGTTGGTGAAAGTCTTTATGTTGTATTTTATTTTAATTGAAAATAATTTTCAAAATTATCTCCTAGCCAAATTTGATAAAAGTTGTAACTACTTGGAACAACTCTCTTTTTTTTTAAAAAAAAAAAGACGAATTAAATTGCTAATATTTTTAGAATATAAAATAAATTTAAAACTATCAATTTTCACATTAGGGTTCCCTAATTTGTGGGTAGTTGGTGAAAGTCTTTACTTATCATTTTTTTTATTTAAATTAATTTTCAAACTTATCACCTATCTAAATTTGAAACACAAATTTAAAACATATTTTTTAAAAAATTAAACACAAATTTATAATGTATTCTTTGAAAATTTAAAACGCCCAATTTTCACATTAATGGGATCCATAATTCATGGATAGCTAGTGAAAGTCTTTACTTAGCTTTTATTTTAATTTAAGTTAATTTTCATTCTTATATCCTAATTATATTTGATGAAAATATGATTACAATTATATGAAATTGTTTTTTTCTTGATTATTATTTAAAATAACGAATTTAAATTTTTTAATGTTTTAAAAATTAAAAAGAAATATATTTATTTTTTAATTTGTTTTAAAAAATATGTAATTTTTCGTAAATATTCCACTTTCTTTAGATCTTTTAAAATTTGCCAAAATAAAATGTTTCTCCATAACTTAATGTAATTTTAGAACTCAAAAACAATTCTTACACATTTAATACAAACTAACAAACAACGTTAAAAAAACACACACATAAGAAAACCTACATTACCCACATAAAACTTTTGTGGGTAATAAATCTTATCTCTTTACATATTATAAAGAAAAGAAAATTTATGCAAATATATATTATAAGATTTACAAATTATCACTTATATTTATGTTTTACTTTATGAATTTTAAACATAACATTGTTATATTTACCTGGACATTTAAAGAAGAATGAAGTGTGATGGTCTGATAAATAATCATCACATTATGGTATCAATGCTTATTCCTTTACCATTGCCAGTATAATCTTGAAATGATCCAAAATAAAAAATGATGATCTACTTTGCTGTATTTCTTTTATCATTTCAGTCATTGTATGTTCCTTATTGATCTTTTTTTCTTCTTCTTGATCTCCTTCGTCATCTTAATATTTCTTTTGTTGTCCACTTTAATCTTCATTGTTGTAATATCGATATCATCAACGTCGTCGTCATTATCACTGTAGTCGTTGTCATATTAACATTTTCAACATCATCCGATAAATAAATAAATTGCAAGCAGATATATGTCAACTTTCATTTATATTAATATAAAGTGATATATGTAAATTAAACATAGCTAATTATATTTGTTAACATCTAAAAAGATAAATTTGTGAAATAGTAAGAGTTTATTTAGAATTCTATAAACATGAGTTTCTAATTTTAATTAAGTTAATAATTTTTTTTCTTTTGAAAATATAATATCTTCAAATTCAAATACTTCTGATCTTTCAATTCAAAATTTTCATCATAATTTCATCATTATCTGCATGTTAAAAAAATAAGATTGAAAAATTATAAATATGAAATATGTAGTAAACAAAGAATCATAAATTATATGTAAATGCATCAACACAGTTTGATTTTGAAACAAAACATAAGATGAAAAAAAATTAAAATATTACATGCTTGGCATAGTTATCGAATATATTCTTAAAAGTGTTTCTCCTTCTTCAACTACATATATTCATCACATAAATGGCTTGATCCTAACTTCATCAATTGACATCTTCAACATCTAGAACTTCCAAAATAAAGTATAATTATTGATAATGTAAACTACATAAAACAGAAGAAAAAGACTATCGTATTTAAATTTAGTGAATTAATATGGTTGAGTCTTTTTGGGGAAGGAAGTTAAGTAAGTGGGTGAGGAATTTTAGGGATAATTATTTGTAGTTGAAGTTTCTTTTTATTTATTTTTTTTTTAAAAAAAAAAAGATAATTACATAGGTTTAGATTTCTTTACAATTTTGTATATAGGTTAAATAAGCTTTAGTGTTATCTAAACGGTAAGTTGCAAAATGTATGTTTTTTTTTTAAAAAAAAAAATTGCTTTATATTGTTATTTATTTTTAAAGTTGAATTTAAACATTACGTTCCAAAATAGATATTTTTATTTTGGATTGGTAGAAGTTATCAACAATATTTATTGCACATAAATCAAAAACCAAAAAAGTTTATTGTTGATAACTTCTACCAATCTAACTATTAGATTTATATTTTTTTTAACCATGCATATTTATTGCACATAAATCAATAGATCATATTCAAAATCCATAATTCTTATATTATTTATTTATCATATTCAAAAGATAAACATCATATTTAACTAATCTTTATTTATCTTGTCTTAATTTAAATTAAGAAAATAATATGTTGATTTATATATACTATTTTATTTCTGAAATTAAATTAAATATTAAATAAATGCATAATAAATAAGAAAAAAATGGTAAAATTACAATTTTTAATAGTTCAAGCCCTTCAACTACCTTCTCTCTTATCTTCCTAATCATGCCGTCATGCAATTATTGCTGCTCCACTAATCCTTATCCATCATAATTATAGTAGTCATTTACTTGATCTTCATTTTTCCGTGATAGCTTATTAAAAATTCAACATAAATAGTTTGATTTGATAATTGTACTTGTGCGTTGTGTGAATATTTTTAAATGTTATAATTTATAAATTAAAAATA